TACTTACTGTTGCTGTTGTTGAATGTTCTTGCTTGAATAAACGGTTATACGGTTACCTCAGAAGCCTCCGTTAATTCCTAACCGCCGATCCAACACTGGCGACGAGTGGTGGGGGAACTCCGGAACTGAGCACAACCTACAACCGAGAGCAAGCAACATTTTAATAGGCGCTTAGACCGGACAACCACCGCGCCTCATTCACCTCAGCTGCCTCCGACGAATCGCCTCAGCCGATCCCTGATGGCCGGCATGCCAGCTTTCGCTCCTTTCGGAGTTGGCGGAGAGTCTTGGGAAGCTTTCTTAGAAAGATTCGAGTGCTTCCTAATTGCAAACGACAAACAGGACTACTCTGAAGCCAGAAAATGCAGGTTTTTTCTCACAGCCTGCGGCTCAGAAATGTTTGCTACTGCCAGATCATTTGCTGCCCCTAGGGCCATTTACGACCTGACCTGGCAGGAACTAACAGACGGGCTCCAAGCCTATTATGCCCCCACGCCTTCACAAATTGCCCGAAGAGTCACGTATCGCCGGCGAGTGCAGAAGCCTACTGAAAGTGTCAACCAATTTCTTCAGGCTCTGCGAGTCGCCACAGCTCAATGTGATTTCCCCGATCTTGAGGACAATCTCGCAGAGCAATTTGTGTGCGGCCTCAAGGACATTTTCCTGAGGCGCCGCTTACTAGGCAAGCCAAAAGTCACCTTAGTTTTTGCCATTGATGAGGCTAGGGCTGCTGAGTTAGCAGATCTTTCCTCAACTGAGATTGACCACTACCTAGCCCAAATGGTGGTTTCTCGCAATTCGCCTGCCTTGCCTGCCTTGCCTGCAACAGAACCATCTCCACCTCACCAATCAACTTATATCACCAATCTGATTGATGAACTAGCTCCTTTGCCCGAGCATCTCCGCCCCGCTCAGGTGGATCGCCTAAGGGCTACCCCTCGCCGCCAAACGCCTCAGCAAACCCAAGCGCTAATCCGCGCTCCTGCCGCTACTTCTATTTGCCTTGGCTGTGGAGGCGCGCATCCCCGGTCTACCTGCCCCTTCAAAGCTGCTATCTGCCGCCGTTGCAGCAAGAAGGGCCATCTCGCACAAGTTTGCCGGGCCCCTCTGCCTCCTCTCTCTTCGTCGGACCAACCTCCTGCATACATCCCGCCTCCGCCTCCAAAGAACCCTCCATCCCGGAGGCCATCTCAGCGCCCGGAGGAGTGTTGCAGCCTCACAGAGACCATTCAAGCCATCCCTGAGCTTCCTGATGTGGCTGTTAACCTGGCTTCCAAGGGTACTCCGAAGATTACCATAACTATCTTCATTGAGGGGCGGCCTTGCTTGATGGAAGTCAATTCTGGCTCCTCCCGTTCACTCCTTTCTTGGGCTACTTTCTCTAAGCTGTGCCCTAACGTGGCCAAGTCCCAACTTTCTCCACCTGATGCTATATTACGGAACTATCAAGGGTCACAAATTTCCACTCTGGGGTGCTATGAGTTGAGGGTTACCTATGGGGCTCGTGCTGCTGTCCTTCCAGCACTAATTGTCCTTAAGCCGCTTCCCTCTATACTAGGTTTAGACTGGTTTTCTGCCCTAGGACTATCCCTTACTGGAGTCCACAGTATAGCGGACACGCCCCCTCCTGATGTAGCCACAGTCCTATCGGACTATGCTGACATCTTCGACGGGCAGCTGGGCCAATACAAGGGCAATCCCATCTCCCTCAACTTAGACCCCCAGGTTGCTCCCATCAGGCTGAAGGCCCGCAGGGTGCCTTTTGCCTGGAGGCCAAAGGTTGACGCCGAGCTTGACAAGCTTGTGGCACAGGGCGTGCTGGAACCCGTCGAGCATTCATGCTGGGAAACACCCATAGTGATTCCGGTGAAGGCCGACGGTTCCATCCGGATCTGCGCCGACTAGAAGTCGACGATCAACCTTGGCCTCCAGGCAAACCCCTATCCAGTCCCTGTCGTGCAGCATCTGCTCCACTCCTTGGGGCGCGTCTGATTGGCTAAGACGCGCCTGGCTGCTGCCGAGCTGTCATTCATAAGTCTGAGGACTTACGAGGCTGCAACACTCCTTCCCCCCGAGCGATGCGCATGCGTGAGAAATTGCGCATGCGTAATCGTTTAGGTACGCTGGCCTGCGTCGGACATGCCCCGACCGCCGCAGTTGTACTGCAGGTGGATCGGGAAGGAGATGTCCCTGTAAGAGCTCCTCCCTTCGGGGAGTGGAGCTCCAGGTGACGTCAGAAGGCTCTCTTGGTCGTACTGGAGGACTGGAAGGACAAGGTAGGCTGGGCGATGGGGGCGCGGCTGAGGATGTCGATGGATTACAATTAGGCCGGTAGGCGGCTTGTGAAGGGGGAGGCCAAGGCCCAAAACGGCCTGCCACAGTTGGTTGGAGGATTGCGGGCTCGGATTGAGAGGCGTTGGAACTGACAGCCCAGAGAAGAGACCCTGTGGATGGGGTAGACTGGCCTGCCGATGGAAAGGCTGGACGAAGTGGAATTGTGGAACTTGGCGGCGGAACTGGGGCTGGCCTGTGGGTTTGGGGGCGGTTCTGAGCCATGTCCTTCCCAATGGCTCAGAAGCCCCCATAGCTTTTTACTCCCGGACACTTTCCTTCGCCGAGAGAAATTACAGCCAGATTGACAAGGAGGCTCTGGCTGCAGTGTCCGGAGTTAAAAAGTTCCACGATTACCTATACGGGCGGCACTTTACTCTCTACACCGACCACAAGCCACTCCTTGGGCTTCTGGCTGGCGATAGGCCGACCCCTCCCATTCTCTCCCCTAGGATGACCCGTTGGACGGAGTTCTTGGCGGCGTATTCATACGCCCTATGCTACCGTCCAGGCAAGCACCTAGGGCATGCAGATGCCCTCAGTCGCTGCCCCCTCCCTGGCGAGGACATCCAGTCGGTCCCTTGCCTTTCTGTCCTATCTATTGCCCAGCTGGACTTGCCTCTCTCATCCACAGATGTAGCCGCCCACTCTCGGTCTGACCCTGTCCTCTCACAAGTAATGACTTGGGTCCTAAGAGGCTGGCCTACAACTTCCACCCCTCCAGACTGCTCGGCGTTTAAATCCCGCCAGCTGGAATTGTCCCTCCACTCTGGTTGTCTCCTTTGGGGCGACCGTGTGGTCATCCCATCGGTCCTCCATCACCAAGTGCTACAGCGGCTCCACGCTGATCATCCGGGAATAGCGCGCATGAAGGCGCTAGCCCGCAGTTACATTTGGTGGCCTGGCCTAGATGCGGAGATCGAGGCCTGGGTCTCCCAATGTGTGACCTGTCAACAGTCCTGCCCATCTCCTCCCTCCTCGCCCTCCCGGGAGTGGGAGATGCCCCGTGCGCCCTGGTCCCGGATCCACATTGATTTTGCTGGCCCCTTCCACGGCCAGGTATTCTTGGTGGTCGTAGACGCG